AGAAATCTTTATTTTAGGAATTTTTTTCTGTAATTAAATTTCTTATTGTATTTTAAAGTTTCTACTATGATATTATAAATAAATAAATAAAAAAAAAAAAAAAAAAAAAAAAAAAAAAAATTTATATTATTGATAAAATAGTTATATTTCTTTTGATTTAGGTTACAAACAATGTTGTTTGAGCTTTAATTTTTGCATATAGTTATTATTTTGTATTTTACAATTTAAGTAAATTTTAATATATAATATATTAATATATATGATTAAAATTACTAATAAAGATATGAGCAAAACCTTACCTTAATACAAAAAAAAAGTTACATTTCCTAAAAGAAAAAATTCATTAAATAGTTTTTACAAATTAGTTAAATTAAATAGAAATAAAACCAAAATAGATTCATTAACTAATAATTCAATAAGTGAACTAAACATCTATCTTATCTTATTTTCAAAACAGATATTAACTCATTAACATAGTAGAAACATAATAATTCTCATTTTCCAACTATTTCTTCTATAGTAGCAGATTACTATGTACTTCAAGTTACAAGTATTTTGTGTGAACATGTTTTTTTGTTACAAAGCATATGATTAATCTTACACACAATTGTCTTCTTGAATAAACAACTAGAACTTCATTGTGCTTAAAAAATCAAATGAAAACTGGTATTTAAAATAAAATGAAAAAATTTATTTTCATAACATTGGTATTATATTAATATTTGTATTGATCTGAATTATAATTAAAACTTCAAATTAAAATAAATCTATAATTTAATAATAGAGCATTATAAAGATCTTTCTAAATAAAAATAAAAATAAAAAAAATGTAACTTATCTTTGAATTAGAGATTATACCTGAGTATAAAGATTTTCTTTACAAGTACAATCTCTACTTTGAATACCATTAGTGATATTATATGTTATAATCAAATATCACATGAAATGCTGAGTCTAAATTATTATTTTTGCTCAGATTTTAATCCAAACCATACACAATATACAATATGTCAATAAAGCAATAAATTAATAAATTAATAAATCAATTTGTATGACTCAAGTAATGCAAAAAATACATCATATAGAAAACTATGGGAATAGTGCCACTGCCATTTGTCCGAGTGTGGTTCTTTACACCTTATCATATTTCATTTTGATTTCAACTTATTTCTCCTAGTATTTCTCAAGGACATGTAGGTATACTTTGCTCTTTTTTCCTTTTCAGAACAGTGTAGAGTTTTCACTGCTGTTTTGTCTTACCAAGTACAGTGTGGGGTTTTCACAGCTGTTTTCTTATACTTTCCTGTTTATCTTACGCCTTAAACAATGCAAATGAATACACTATCATCTAATTTGAATTCACAACTGTATGGTTTTGCAGCATTGAAATAGCATTAATTGGTATATCTGTTAGATTAGTTATCTGAATGAATTTTTTTGGGAAGAGGTGGGAGGGAAGAACGTTTTGATTAGCCAGAAAATAGGGTTTTGGGCAACTACTCAAAGCAGCAAAAGAAAAGCACAACTTTTCTTCTTTGGATTTTGTGGTTTATTTATACTATCATTAGACTCTGAGGATCAATGACCTCATAATTTATGCAAACTTATTTGACTTATAACTTCATATCAGCATCATTTGGTCCAACATGTCAGGTGATCCTCATGATAATATCCCTTCTGTGCCTAAGTCACAGTCAGTTTTATTATTTTTACTCAGATTTTAACCCAAACCATACACAATATACAATATGTCAATAAAGCAATAAATCAATAAATCAATAAATCAATTTGTATGACTCAAGCAATACAAAAAAATACATCATGTAGAAAACTATAGGAATAAAAAGAGGATCGTTTTTTAATTTTCCAATACTCTAAAACCTTATCTTTTCTGATGTGTTTATTTGTGTTGTTGCAATCATTTTTAAGTATAGCAATACTGCTTTTGATACCCAGCCGCCTATGGCCATCATTTGTGGTAGTGAAATACCTGCCTTCATCGCAGCTATTGCACCACCAATATGCAAGCTATGGCTTGAATATCTTTCTCTTAAACCTGCATGACATGCCACTCACTTGACAATTGAACTAACAGCCCCTATAGTTAGTTTCTTATTTTTATTTGACAGAAATACTGTTTTGCCTGAATTTTCTCTAACTCGTAAATACCATTTCTACAGTCTGACAGGACAGAATTTTGAGTTAGCTGGTTCAATTGGAATGAATTTTCCTATACCATATTGGTCAGTCTTTGGTCTGTTTATGTGAATTCATAGAAGGTTATTCTCCTCTTTGAAATCACTCAGAGAAAGGGCTACTAATTCTCCTGCTCTTTGCATTGTATACAGACCAATTGCCACTAATGCACAATCACATGCCTATATTTTATAATCAGCCATCTTTGGTGGGTTGTCCACATAAGTTTTCAATGTCTTAATAGGTAACAGATCGCATGGTCATGTGGCTTCTCTATCATTTGCTGCTAGGTTTAACAATAACTTTGCCAATCTTTTTACTTTATAGTTCTTTGTTGGGTCTGGCAAATTTTGTGCACTGTGTTGATTTGCTATTGCTGTTAGGACAAGTGTAGGCTTTATTGCTTTTTCATGTATGTTTGACTAAATTAAATATGCTAACACACTATTTCATGAGGCTGATAAATGTACTAGTCTATATGCCTTGCAAAAATTAATAAAATCATTCCAAATAGCCTTTAACTTATGATTGTATGATGATTTGGCAGTAATATTTTGTGTGCTTGTAACAATAGTTTCTCTAAAACAACATCTGTACTGCCATGAACTTCCAATTTTGATTGTTCCATAGTTCTGCTAATCCTTTTATATTTGGAAGAAAACTCTCTTTTATATCTGGCAGTGAGTGTTCTCAGTATGGATGTTATAGCATGATTGGCCACCAGGAAACTGAAAGCCATACTGGTACTATTATTATTGTAGTTGCTTCACATTCTATTATATAGTGAAACATCTAATCTAATTGTCCCAATGGAGCACATACATAATTTATTTCCCTTTTTCAATCTTGTATAAAACAATTAACAGCTTCTGTAGTTGGACAGTACCAACATGAATTAAACCTTGGAAGGTGGATGGTGACTTTGCTTGCCATTTGATCTATTGTGTGTGGGCCTCATGCATGGTCTAATAGTTTAAAAATATTCTTTCTTAGACTTCAATCAGATTCATCATAATGTCTTATAAGTTGTCTGCTAGGTTTTTTGCACTTGGCATCTATCAGAATTCATAAATCCGAATGTCTGTGTTGTCGTAGAAGTTTTAAACCTTCCTCATGTATTCCTTCTGCCAAGATGTCTTTTCTTCTGACTTCATCATTTTTCTTGCAATTTTGTTGTCTATAAAAACCATTACCTAGTGATGTGCCAGTTCTTTGCCAAATGATTGGAGACTCGGCAATGTTGCTTCAGATTCTAATTTTGCTATGTCCACATGTTGGTGCTTTCTCTTTCAGTTTCCAAATGCCTTGTATGCAAATAGCATTGCCAACTAGCCAGTTGTTGAAGCATCCACGAACAGTGGGAGTATACATGAGGGTTTCCATACAGGGCAACCATTTCTTTTTTTCAAATTTTGAACTAACTAATTTGCATCATCTTTTGCCCTTTTTGACAACTTTATTTTCTGATCCTACTCTTATGGCTTGTGATGCATTGCATCGATCAAACTAAAACTCTAGACACCACACTTTTGCTAGTGCAAATGCCCTGCTTAGGCTCATTAACATACCTGTTACTGAGCCAAAGACCATGCCATTACCTCCTGTTGGGTTGCTAAGTATTTTAAAGCTCGCTTTGCTGTCTTCAATTTTTCATCTGAAATTATTACCAATGCCTCCATTGTGTCCAATATTAACCCATAAAACTTTGGTCTCAGTGTGGGTTTCCAACTTCCTTTCTCTGCCAAAATTAGGCAATCTAAGCTTAAATTTGAGCCAATTACATAATCTCTTTGATACTTCAAGATTTTGATCTCTGGATGGGCAATCCAGATGTCATCTATATGGTTTCTACAGTAGATGCCCATTGAATGCCAATGTCTGATTACTGCTCGCATTACCTTCAAAAAAACCCACACCACCTGACTTAGCTCAAATGGCAGAACATGATAATAGTACCAGTCCTCTTTGAATCTGAATCCCAGCAGTTTTTGTGCATTCTCTGTTATCAAAGGTGATAATAACCATCTTTTAAATCCATTGTTATAACCCATCAGTTTTTCTCTACTGTTCGAATGAATGTTTTTAGGCCTTTAAAATGGAACAATTTGTTAGACAGAATTCTGTTCAGCCTTTACAGGTCTATGATAAGCCTCTATTTTTTACTTTCTGGTTTTGGTTTTAGAAATATAGGGCTTACTTCTAACAAGCAGTTTGGTCTTTGAGCCCTCTTTCCTACCTTGACTATTGCCCTTTTCTCTAAAAGTCTTATTAACTCTGTTATCAACCAAGTTTCTTGTTCTTATATAAAACATTATTGCTGTGAAGTGTCCAACAGTGATAGGCAAAGCAGGCCTTTGGGAAATAATGTAACTCCTTGTTCGAGCCAGCTTATCACTAAGGATGATGCCTTTATTTTCTCTCTTTACTATGCCACTGAAACTGATTTTGTCAAACTCTCTACTACTGATTGTTAAGAGGCCTGAGGGTAGTTAGCTGTAGTTTCTGCCTTGCACAACTTGCCTTGTTTCTCAAGACTTATTTGGCTTTCTCTTGAGAGGCCACCTGTCTGATCTTGAAATGCAATTATTTGCATAGTGCCCCAATCTGCTGCAGTTGTAACATGTGAATGCACTGTTCCTTTCATGTTCTGTGCTATATGGTCTGTCTTTTTCTTGCTCTGTAATATGAGTTTCTTGCCTTCAATGGGACTTATTCTTAAAATCTGACCTTCTATAGGAACCATACCTCTGAAAAAATTACCTTTCATTTGCATACTTTCTTTTCCCTTGCTTCAAATTTGCAGCCTGCCATGCTCATTCGATTGTTTCACTATATGTGGACAATCCTTTATTTTTAGACTTTAGTAATTCTATCGCAACTTTCCAGCTATATTCTCATGCTACATTTAACACCACTGTTCTATCAAGTGTTTTTGTTCTTGCACTCTTAATATGACAGATAGCTTCATCTTCTGTTGTTATACTTAATGCTAAGTTTAGATCATTCCCAATAACACAAAACACATTTTATTCAAACTGATCTCTGGACCTTTTGAACTTCATATTAGGCCAGTTTTTGTGGATCTCTGACCTCATACTTGATACTTCAACCTTTTCTGAGATGATATTTATATCCTCTCACAAGTGCTTAATCTCTTTCAACAATGCTTTTATGTTGACTGTGTTTTTCGACTTTCTTTTTACCTTTTTCAGTCTTTTTTCACATGACTCATCATCACTAGAAGGTCTTGGTGATATGCTAAACACTGGACTTTCACAATGAAACATATCCTCATGATTTGTCTCTTCTTCACCATAAGTAGTCTCCAACGCTTCACTTTCCATATTTTCTTTCCAACTATTTTGTTCCCTCTGGAACATGTCATTAACAAATGTAAGACGTTCTATCAAATCAGTCTTATTTCCTTCTGTACCCAAATTTAACCATGTGCAGAGGTTCTTCAAGGCTTCAACTGACATATGTGAATGACACACATCACTTTGTCATGATTCTGTTTCATCTGTTTGTTCTGTTTACTCCAAGATGTGTTTGTGTGTTTTATCAAGAACCATATCCATAAAAGAATGGGAAGTAGATCTTACTGAATTTGTATATTTCTAAAGTGTAAAATGTGTAAAGAACGTTTCGATTAGCCAGAAAATAGGATTTTGGGCAACTACTCAAAGCAGCAAAAGAAAAGCACAACTTCTCTTCTTTGGATTTTGTGGCTTATTTATACTATCATTAGACTCTGAAGATCAGTGACCTCATAATTCATGCAAACTTATTTGACCTATGACTTCATATCGGCATCGTTTGGTCCAACATGTCAGGTGATTCTCGTGATAATATCCCTCCTGTGCCTACGTCACAGTCGGTCTTAAAACTTGACTTCTGGAGTCGAATCGGACCAGACCGGACTTTTAACATCCCTAGGTAAGGCTTAAAAACTTTTTTTGTAATTACACAAAAACGGAACAAAAACGTTTTAGCGGCAAATTTTCCCGCTGACAGTTTAAGGGATAAGTATTGAATTATTAAAACCTAAAGTCACTTGGAAAACATGATAATTTGCGAACGTTAATATTAAATAAGATAGATGTTTTGAAGCGAGTTCATGAGTTTCAAGAAAAATCAACAACACGATGCACATGACCAAAACTTATCCAGTTAAAGGGACCAAAGTCGTTTTTAAATAGGTAAGTCATTGCAAAAAACACATAGTTAGAGAATAGAACCACGTAGCATTTAAGTATTCATTTGTTAAATAATGTCAAAAAAACCTTCAAATCAGCGATTAAAAAAAAAACCAATTGTTTTTAGAATGTCGAAAGCTAAAGTCTGTAACATTGCATAGATGTTGTAAAGCATACGAAATATTGGTTAATTTAATTGAAAAAGCTTAACATTAATAAAAAAAAAATAATATAAAGTCTCGAACCTTTCTATAGTGAACTGACTGTAAAAGGAAGTTGATTAAAGAGTTATAAAAAATAATATGTTTTATTAAAAATCCATGACCGAACTATTGTGAAATTTCAATTTTAGAGTTCGTTGTATTCAGAGTCGACAGTACATATGATATGCAACAATCGGAAAATGAGTACCAGGTTGGTGACGTAGTTCTCATGATCTACGAATCAGATTTCATGATTAGGTGCAACGTAACACGATCAATAGGATTCAAAACAAGAAAATCAGCATAAGAAACCAACAAGAGCGACCGATCAATATCGTAGATTATTCATATAGTTACACAATTTATAGATGTTTTTTATACATTTTACACTATTTCTTTTAAAAGCTGGGTGGCTTAACTTTCCATGAAACAAGAGTGGATTAATGCATTCACTTTGCCTTATAACATATTCTTTGAATCCCCATGAATTCTACAACTTTCTTTTTGCAACCTGATTGGCTGATTTACTAAAATTCGAGATACAATTAATTGTAACTATATCGGAATCATCTACGAAGTTGAACGGTCGCTCCTGTCTAAGAAACCACCTTCTGTGCTCTATCAAAAAGTTTCGGTTGAAAATTTTACTATTACAACTACACCTTAAAACGACTTTTAAGAATTTTGTCTGCACCACCAACCTGGTACGCATTTTCTAATCTTAACTGCTGATTGCACTCAGAAAATGTGTACCGGGTTTGTGGCGCAGACAAAATTCTTAAAATTTGTTAAGGTTGTGTTAGGGTCAGGGCTAGGAGCAAGAGGAAAGTAGTTGTAATAGTAAAACTGCCCAACAAACTTTTAGTTAGAGCACAAATGTGGTTTCTTATGCTAAGTTATGACGATTTTTTGGCGAAAGACTGTTTGATCGTGTTATGTTACACCTAATCTTGAAATATGATTCGTAGTTGAACCGAGTGCGTATTGATTACGTTATGAAATCATATTTTTGAGTGCAATCGCATTCATGCATATTGGCTCATCTCTATTTTACATTCTCACATTAATAGCCAAGATTTTAACTTTATAATTATACGCATCTTTAAATAATAAACTACAGGTTAACAGGATTTTATGCATATATAAATTATTAATTTATTTCTAATAATTTATGTAGCTTTAAATTCCTTTATGTATAATAAATTTTTATGTGATACCACATAGATCTAATCTATTACACTATGTACCAGGTTTTAAAGATGTAACTTAGAATATAATCAAATAATATGTATAGTTATGACAAAATTTTGTTATACAAATTCAGTATTTCATTACGTCCAATAAGACAAATGCATAAGAGATAGAACATTTAGTTTAGTTAAAAAGAATTCATGATTGCCATATCCTAAAAATTTAAATATCAATGAATCGTTAAAATTCAACCTAGCTTACAATGCAAAGTTACATATCTATTTTTCTCATTGAAATATAATAAGAAATTTTGGTATAGCGGCCTGATTTAAACACAAGATCATTAAAATGTGGTGGTATATAAAGTATTTGATATTAAAGCAATAAGTAAATTATAGAATACATACCTCATCACGTTCAACTATGAGTACCGATTCATAATATTTAGCAACGACATCAACAACAAACATTGCATTTGTAACATAATTATATTTACCCATGTAAGTATAATGACTAAGTAGAAGTGATGTGTTGCAATAATTATATGATGTTGATGAACTGTTGGCAAACCACATATCTTAAAAAGAAAGGTGAATTAACATTAATATTAATGTTAATAAAATAAAATAAAGCAAAATACAACAATAAACTAAGTCTACTTACGGCGGCGACTAGAAGCATATGTTGTTTTGTTGCCTTCTCGCATTATTCCGCACACACCACAACCATAGTTGCAAAATATGGCTTGTGGATTTGTGATAAATCGTTGGGGATCGCATAGAGATCTTGTACCATGGAACATTCTATGCGTTAACATATCATAATTCTGTCTTTTATACTTTTCATGAGCCTCTACAAGCTTAGTTGGCATATTTAATTTCAATATTCCAAGTACAGTGCAATCAGGAAGTCCCGAGATAAAAAATCTTTTAATCGAAAGATAATCCGAATTATCCATTGATAATGCCGTAATCTTAGTCTTATAAATCTTAGTATTTGGGATTCCGAATGAAGAAATCTCCGAAACTCCAAATGGAGAGATATGTCCAATAATAGAATCAGTATTTGTGGTTCTAGATAAGGAAGTCTAATTTTTTCGATAAATTTTATATACATATTAGCTTAGCTGATGTATTTATAAAAGAAATTTCATAATTTCTTATTTGTGAGACATTCTTTTAAAAATGGTATACTCTGGTTATGGTCTACAAATGTAACATTCAAATAAATGGATCGGATTTACTAAACGCACCAGTGTGCTAAACACCACAACTGCTATATATCCAAAAACTGACTAATAACGGAGGTCAGATATATTAAGTAAAAATGTTCAGAATCCCCAAACCTTATGATGACCAAAATTTGAGCCTTTATATCTGACTCCTTTTTTAGTCCAACCCAAATTTTATAGTAAAAATATATGTGGCGTTGAACACCATTAGTGCGTTTTAGTAAACTTGAAATGGAATATCAGAGTAATTTCCAAGGTTATATGTTCCTCATACTTGAATGGCAAGTTCTATTTTTCTGAAGTCCGATATGTTAGAAATCCATTTTTATAACCGATTCTCGCCACTGCATTGAAATTATAATCTGCTCTTAATTACATAAATGCTAGAACTAGAATAAAAACTATAATTCAACTATAATTTTTCTATAAAAACTTCATCATAATTTTTACTTATTAAATTTAAACTATATTCAGCATTACTTACTCGTCTAGCTTTTAATCTTATTTTGCGCAATATGCTTGCCCCCAGAAATATAATACAAACTAGATAAAGTCATAATTATTCAAATGAATTTAAGATTGTATAATAAGACAGATGGTTTAAATAAAGACACCAATTTGAAAAGTTCATACCAATAATAATAATTAAAATAGGATGCTGCATACAAATTTTGCCAAGATATTTAGCGTGGGCAATAATAGTCAAGCGTTCTTGTATCAAGGCTTTAAAGGAATTTATTTTATAGAGAGAAGTTTTAATTTGGCAGACAGGAGATTGTTTTGGATTTTTTGAAATTATATAGGTTTTAGTTTTATAACCAAGCCTGAAAATAAGCCTTCAATAAATAATACAGTATAACATATTGCGAAATAAAAATACATTTTAAATAAAGACAATGGAAATTCACAAGTTTAAACCATACCATTCATCGATAACCTTAACCTGATCATCTAATCTCAAGTTTTCCAATGCAAGTCGTGAGAAAATTTTAAAATTTTTTTCAGCATCTTGACGTGGCTATCATCAGTATCAAGCTATTAGTTATATTTATAATAGTCAACTTTAAAATTTATTGCACAGTATTTTACTTACTAATTTTTTACTACGAAGCAAAACAAGGAGATTCTGAAATAATAAATTTTCACGAGGACTACTTTCACATTCAGTTTTACCAATTTCTTCAATAGCAATACTTTTAAGAAGTTTTGTATATTCTTTAACCTTTCGTTCACGGTTAAAATCAAATATACATCTACTGGTGAAAGGTTTGAGCCAGTAAATTGAAGAAGATGCCAACGCAAAACCTTCATCACACGAAGTAATCTTACCCTTCGAGCAATGAGCATAAGGCGGGCAGGGAGTACAATTAGCCTCAAAAAAAGAATCTATAAAGTTAAAAACAACTTTAATATATATTTATAATAAAATATTCGAGATTACGTATTATCAGTCTTACTTTTGGTATTCTCTCGTAACTGATTATCACAGAAGCTAGTGACCATATTATATTGAATGTAATATTTGATTAACAAACCAAATATCAACATTAAAAAAACTGTTGTGTAAGTAAATTTCCATCCCCGCAGAGATAATTGCGATTTTATCAATTCGAATGGTTCGAATAGATTGAGATTCCCAAAAATCACATTACTTTGTCTTTTATTGTTAATTTTTGAATATTCAATATTCTTTGATGTAGATGTAGATGCCACTCTAGATATAATTTGATCTGACTACACCAAAGGAAAAGATATGTTGTGAATTCAAATGTATAAAAGAATCTACTTCAAAAATATTAAATTCAAGAAATATTTTGATACATGTGAAGATGTTCCAGATGATGTAGCTATGTTTTCCATCAATGACTGATTTTTCATTTCTTTTTCTCGTAAAGACGGTATAAGCGGCCGAATTTGCGTATTAAATATTTTTACGAGACCTGCTTTCTTTTCTTTACCATTATAACGTATATCATGCGCATCTAGAATTTCCCGTAACCGGGTCATGGTAACTTTCTGGGGTAGAAAGTTTGAATCCATATAATAATCTTTATTCGACTTCATTATAAAATATCTTCGGTGCCCCTTTATTCAAAGAAATAATTTAAAGGATTGATGTTGATATTAAAACTTCTCTACTATAACAGTGATTATGAAAACGAGAGTTTTATCAAAATAAGTTTCCCAAAAGAATTATTTGTGACCTTGTAAATGTAAATAAATAATTAAACATGTTTATTTATGTTAATTTTTTTTTCGGAAATATGGTAATATACTCCGAGAATATACAATTAATATACGTCCTTATAAATTTATTATTCTTTGTAAAAATTCTAAGCAAAAATTTTCTTATGAACATCATCTGTCTTAATTTCAGAAATTCTAAAGTGACAAGTTTTTATATCAAAAGTTACCATAAGTTTCTTTGACTAGGTAATTTTGATAAGCTAAATAATCCAATTCAGATACAAAATACTTTCCTATCCTATCCAAGATTTATTTTGAAATACCGATGGCGTTTACAAAAACAATTAATAATGGAATCTTTTTTAAAAGATTAATCAATTTTCAAAACTAAGAACGACTTTTGACTTTGAATGCTGCCTAGCAACATAATATAAACATAAAGTCAAGGAATATATTGTCGTTATCGTTATGAGAAACAAATAGAACTATATGTAAGCAAAATCCTGAAATCAGTCTGTAATCGTAATATCGATGTACTGTATTTCTTATTTCAGGAATACATAGAGACCTAACACCGTATAATCAAATACCAGTATTAAACAAATAAATATGGACCTCGTAATTTTAAACGGTCTGCAAATTTTATAAAGACATAAGTTTATTCAAATTTTATAATTATGTAGAAACCCTGTTATAAAAAAATATATCGCTATTGTACATTATTTGAAATATGTCATCAACTTTTTGCTTTAAATCCTTTTTTTAAAAAAAAATTTCATACTAATCATGATTTTTACAGAGATGCAAAGCGGCTTGATTGAATTGCATATGTTTTTACTCGAGAGGGTTATTTAAATTTTCACTATACCGTATTGTCTCGAAATAACGCCCGGGGTTTATTTCAAGACAATATGGTACCAGTCTTAAACTTGAAATTGATAAGACGGTGGTTAAAATTTAAAATTTGCTTACAGTTACAGGTTTTCTCTCTCGAGCACTTGTGTACAAGATTAATGGCACAGATCTCCTGAACTACACGATCAGGAAGATTCAAAACAAACGTTCGCTCTGCCAAAAATCGTCAAAAATCAACATAAGAAACCATCTTTTGTGCTCTAAAAAACCGTTTTTGTTAACCAAATTTACTATATAAATTATCACCCTCTAGATCCAAACTTTGACCCTAAGCCTAACCTTAACGAATTTTAAGAATTTAGTCTTCGCCGCCAACCTTGTACATCTTTATGATATACATGTATATTAAATACAATAGATAAGGAGTAAAGTAGTAGATTCGTGGCGGAAATTTTCGAGATCACGTTAATTTAGTCAATAAGCTTTATCTAAGATATTAAGTAATCTGAGCACAAAAGTAAAATATTTATTAAGGCACATGTTTTGCTGATGAGAGATTTACTTAAGAAAACTTTTTATTACATAGAGGCGTTACAGATAAAATTTTGAGTTTTTTTGGGTTGCGCCGGAGAATGTTTTAGGGCAGTGATTTAAGCAATTAAAATAGAAATATTTCGTGGTGCAAAATTATGGTGACTATTGCTGTATTGAGTATGAATGGCAAATATTTTGAATCACAATGTTTAAATCAATTGCTTTTAAAAGACTTTATTTGTTTTAAAAATAAATATCAAATGAATTTGCCATCATATGCATAGAACTATGTGTGTATTTTTGTAAGGGTGAGAATGGTTTTAATTAAAAATAAAAAATTTATAGCGAAGATAAAACTAATCAGGATCGATAGTTTTGTGAAATTCAATTAATATTTCGTTTGTACTTTTCTCTAACAAATGAATGAACTTTCCTATAGTATTATTTTCCAATGATAAAAATATAAAAATTAGATGATTTAATGTCATAGGCAGAAGTTTGTCTGATTGGCTAATAAATTCAATTTAATTTTACATTATTTATACAGTTTAGAGTAC